TTTCCTCTCCTCGTTTTTTAGAACTTTACTGAACAATATCATTTATATAAAAATAAATAGTTTATTACAAAATTCAATAACAAAATAAATACTACTAATTTATTAAGAACAATTTCTTTCAGAAATAATTATTTTTTTCTTTCTAAAAACATTAAGCTGAAATAAAGAAACTTACCATTTTACACATAGAATAAAGTTATCTAGTGACCAATATAATCTAACACTTACAATCCTATAACCGCATATAACATTAATCAAGATCACTAGGATAATCAACTTTTTTGATATAACGTTGTTCATCTTTTTTCTGTAAGGTAAGTAATATGTTGTATAATACAATTAGTAAAATTGAAACCTTCTTTAATTTTCTTAATTGATAATTAATATCAAAATCTTGTTTTGAATGTAATTCTTCTTGTAAATGTAATGATTCTAATAAAGAGTATTGTTTTTCTCTTTGAGTAGTTTTTTTCTGATTATATTCTAAGAGTTCCATTTCATCTTTTGTTTCTTTTGAATTTGTCGAAGGAAAAGAATTAGATAATTTTTTATTTAATTGTCTTCTTCCACCATGAGTAACAATATAATCAGTATTCTATGGAATGGTTAATATATAAATTATGAAATTATTCACACCCACAAACTTTTGGATCACTTTGAAGTCTAATAACTGAATGACAATCCTTACAACTTATCTCAAATTCAAAAACTTTACTTGAATAGTACATCCCAACTTGTCGTTTTGTTGCGTTGAAACGAGTACCTTTTCCTATGAGATTTTTACATCCATCACACCAAATCCCGAAAGGTAATTCTATTCGAATAATCATTATTCCATTACCTTTGGTTTTCTTTCTTAAATGTGAAACTTTTCCATATCCGTTAATACTTTTATGAATTTCTGGATCAAAGTCAGGTGGGATATATCGGTTTATTGCTTTGCGTTCTGCCATTTCTATCTATTGATCTTAAAAATGGTATTTCTTTTATTAAAAAATGATAAACAAAGAATTAGAAATCAAAAAATTCATTCCAAAAATATAAAATTTTTACATTTTTCTAGGACATTTAATAAATAGTAAATTTATAGTATAATAAATTATAAATAATAGTAAAAACGAACTGATAACATGGAGAAACTAAGAAAGAATAGAGTTGAGATGAAAGTACTGTTTTGCAATGCTAGTAATTCTATTCAAGAAAGTATTGACATCGAAGAAACACAAACAATTACTATTAGACAAATACATCAACTCATTGCAAGTAAATTAAAATCATCATATTCAGATATCACATTAATATATCGAGGATATAAATTAAGTGATGATTCATTATTTTCTAAAATCGGTTTGTTATATATTAATTATTTATTCAATCTTGTTAAAAAATAAAGCTCTAATAATAAAAAGAATATCAAGAAGGAAGTAAAATTGTATTTATTCAAAAAAAGAAAAAACAAGAAAAACAGGAAAAAGAAGAAAAAGAAGAACGAATTGAAAAACAAGAACAACCACTTCAATCTATACTTAATGACCCAAGTTGTGATGATCCGAGTGATGACTTTTTAAATGATCCAACATTAATAAAATTATTCCTTCAAAATGGTATGTTTAAAGAATTCTTTGAGAAACATCCTGAAATGGAGGACTTTATCAACGACCCTAAAGAATTAAAAAATATGATGAAAATGATGAGAAACCCTCAATTAATGAGTCAAGCATTAATGAACGCAGACAACGCTATTAGTCAAGTTGAAAATTTACCCGGAGGTCATAATGAATTAGTTCGTTTAGTAAGTGGACTTGAACCATTAGAAGATGCTATGAAGCCAAAAGTAAAATTTAATCCAGAAGTATCAAATGAACAATTTAAGATGGAAAAACCACTTGATCAACCATTCAATTTATTTGAAGAAAAAACATCAGACAAATTTATGTATGGTGGTAATGGGTTATTTTCTCTTGGCGATAATTCAGTACCAGGATATAATCCTTTTGGACTACCAACACAAAGTTACCAAACACCTTCTCATTATGTTTCAAGACGTTCTCCAAGTTCAGTTCTTCCACCAAGACAACTATATAGTAGTCAGTTACAAAGTTTAAAGGAAATGGGATTTTTAAATGATGAAGAAAATTTAAACGCTTTAATTCAGGCAAATGGAGAATTATCAACAGCACTTGATATTTTAGAGAGAGGTCATTAAAGAAAAATTCCAATCTTCTATTTTATTAAAACGTATCCAATTATGCTTTACAAATAAATTACTTATTATACAATTTTTAAAAAGGAAATTCAATTTTTTTTATTAAAATATAAATGAACAAATTCAATTAATATATGCTAAATCATCATGATGCTCAAACTTTTTTTCTTCTTTCTTTAAAGTAGAACGTAACATTTTTCTTGTTCTTCTATACTGTTCAATTGCACCAGGAACACATTCCAATGAAGGAACAGGATGGCTTTTTTTAAGTTTTTTCTTTTTAGGAATAGGAAAACTTTGCATCACTGGAACAGTAAAAGTATTTACCATAAGTTCTTTCTTAACAAAGTAAACAATAACTTTAGAAATAGTATCCATTGAATCACCTTTTTCTTCTTTTTTTTCTTTTTCTTCTTTTCCAGATATTTTAATATCAGTGATAATATTCATTTCAGGTTCATCTTCACATCCTAACCAAACTCTCTCACTTGGTAATCTTAGACACATAAATTTAATTCTTGTTTTTAATGATTTAATTATTAAAGTTGCTTTTACATGAGTAATACTTTTTAATGGAATTTGTAAAGTAGCTTCTAAAGTCATTTGAAATCCGTCAGTATAATCACAGTCTACATCAATAATTGTTTTACCAGTTATGTCAGAATGAGATATTTTTGGATTAGATATAATTGGTAATTTAGGACCAATTACAACATCAGTTATTTCTAATGTTTTTACCATTGATGGTAATACTGCAAATCCTATTTTTTCTTTAAATTTCTCTTTGATTTTACTTGATATTCTATTACTATCAAAGAATTGAAAGAATAATCTATGAATTAAGAAATTAATTCCATAAAACCAATGCATTTGAGAATTATCCATTGAGATGGCTTTTTCTGAAAATCTACTTAATAAAGAAGAAAAATGAGGACGAATAATGTTCTGGTATTTAACTCCTTTAATTACTTTTTTTAGTTCATAATATATTTCTTCTAAGAGATAATCATTATTAAAATGTAATAATAAACAATGACCCATTCCTAATTCTGGATCAATTCTTTCAATAAGAATTGAATTTTTACTTTTAAATTTTTGACGTTTATATCTTTTGATTAAAGTCATTTCTTCAAGTGATATTTTAGATAAATATTCAATTTTTTTTTGTAATGTATCACAATGTGCTCTTTTAAATAAATTATAAGCTTCTTCTTCTGGTGTAATACATTCATTTTCACTTTCAAAAAAGTGATAAAAAGTTCTTTTTTTTGGTTTTCTTTGAATACTTAATTTCATTGTTTTAGTTAAAGGAATTGGTTTAATTGTTAGTCCATCAATAAGAAATAATATTTTTCCTTCAACTTTAACTTTTAATTTTTTACTTTGTTTTGAATCATTAAAATATGTTAATGTACACCATACACTTTGTAATGGTATATCAGATCGAGTAATTTGAACATATTTTTGAGGAAATAAAAGGTCTTTATCCTCACGTTCTCTTATTTTTCTTTTTTCAAAAAGTTCAGCAATGGAATGTAGATGTTCTTTAAAATAATCTGAACGAAAATACATAAACAATGTAAATACAGAAATGCTAGATAATATAGTTGATTTAATAATAACTGATAAGACTTCAGTAATAATTTCTAACATCTGAATTTATCAGTTAAAAGAAATATTTCATCTATTTCATTTGTTTCTATTTTTCCTTCTAACAAAAATTTTCATTTTAAAGACTAAATAAACTCAACAATCAACAAAAAGATAACAAAAAAGAAATTTTTTCAATTTAACATTCATTTCATTTCAAGGATAATAGTTCTTGTTACTACAAAATCATTAGGATGACATAACGTATTTAGTCCAGTATTCTCTAAATTAATATAATTCTTCGATAAGTTAAAACAACAAGACCCTTTTTTATGAGCAAAATAAATATCCATACAACTCTCTGATAATCCAAAACCATACATAATCTTTGATTTTTCACACACCATTAATCCTTGTGGTTTCTTTGATTTGTATTGATGAACAAAATCAGTTTGTTCTATTCTAAGTGAAAACAAGAAATGATTAGGATCAACTACATATTTCTTTGGTTCAATAGGTGCTTTAAATGTAAAACCACCAAATATACTTCCATTCTGATCAACATTTATAAAGTATAAATTTGGATGATTAAGAATTGGTCGGAACCAATCTTCATCATCTTTTGGAGTTTCCCTTGAGTCATATAAAACATTAAATTTTGAACATTTACTCCACTTTTGTAAATAAGTGAAATAAGGAATTAATACATTTAATCTATGATTTACAACTGTTTCTAAAGGAATATAAATAAGTCCAACTTTATTAAGACTACTTCTAATTGATGAATCATTAGAACTTATTAGTGGAAGTGTAGAATCACTACGAGGTCGTTTGGTATTAAAAGGATTTACTTTATTTTCTTTTTTACTATCCTTTTCAAATACTTCTTTACTTGAAATTAATTGACCAGAACTTTCTTTTTCGGCTTCTTTTAAGAAATGAATTTCAGTTTTTTCTTTTTCATATAATGAATTAATTTCTTCATGTAATAATTCAACTTTTTCCATTAACTCTTTAATATTTTTTAATTCTTTTTCTCTATCTTCAATACAGTGGTTTAAATCAATACGTGCACTATTTTCACTACTATCTCCTTCAAACTCATTTTCAAATGCATTAACATTGTAGTGAGCAAAAAATTCATCAAATTCATTATTATTTTTTTTAAAATGATTAGTAATATCTTCTATTTTTTCTTGAAGTTCTTTTGCATGGTCTGGAGTAAGTAATTCATGCATAATATAGTTATCCATCTTCTGAAACTCTAACTCTGTTTGTTTAAGTTCTTATTAAATTTTTTTTTACTATCTTTTCGTATATCAGAAAAATCCATTCACCCCCTTCACGATAGGAAAAGTTTCTTTTCATTATTTATTTCTTTCTTTAGCTTTTGTTTCATATTTTATCTAATTAAGAATCCAGGTATTGTCGACGTGGTTTATTTATTTTTTTATTTTGTATCAAAATATTTTATTTTATTTTTAGAAAAAAGAAATTCTATATTTAACAAATGTACATCATTAAATGAAAAAGTCAGGAAAAAAAAAAAAGAATGAGGAATTGAAAAAAATCATATCTTAAAAAGTTTTTATCTTAGAAATCAATACTTAATGGGGATTTCTTCAAGTTCTACTCAATCAAATAAACAACGATTTTCATCTAATCCTGATACAAGAAAAGCAATTTTAAAAGGCAATTATCAATCAATGGATGAATTACAAGAAGGACTACGTCAAGCAGGATTAGAAAGTTCTAATTTAATTATTGGAGTTGATTATACTAAGTCAAATACATGGACCGGTACAAAAAGTTTTAATGGATATAGCCTTCATGGACTTTTTGAAAATGTAATGAATCCATATCAAAGAGTTATTGATATTATTGGAAGGACATTAGAACCATTTGATGATGATAATCTTATACCTGTTTATGGATTTGGTGATGTAACAACTACTGATAAATCAGTTTTTTCTTTTATGCCAGATGATACACCATGTAATGGGTTCCAAGAAGTATTAAAACGATATAATGAAATCACACCAAGTGTACGTCTTTCTGGACCAACTAATTTTGCACCTTTAATTAATAAGGCAGTACAAATTGTCCAACGTACAAGACAATATCATATTCTTTTAATTATTGCTGATGGACAAGTTGATGCAGAACGAGCAACTAAAGCAGCAATTGAGAATGCATCTAATTATCCATTATCAATTGTAACAATTGGAGTTGGAGATGGACCATTTGATAAAATGGAAGATTTTGATGATGAATTAGGACAATCAAAGTTTGACAATTTTAATTTTGTAAATTTCCAGAAAGTAGTAGATGGTCCTCATGTAGAAAACCCTGAAATTGCATTTGCTACTGCAGCAATGAATGAAGTTCCAACACAATTTTTATGTTGCAAGAAATTAGGATATTTAAATTAATAAATGTTATTAACAAAAAGAAAAAAAGGTTAGATTTATAATAAAGAAGATAATTTTTTTATTGTTGTTTTAATGGTTTTAAATCTAATAGAAATGAAATTAATACAATTAACAATTACTTAATTTGAATTTAATGACATTTGTTTTAATTGTTCAATAATTGGTTTTAATACAGGTTCTTTAGATAAAATAGCTATCATCATTAATTTATCATAAGTTGGTGTTACTTGACTAATATGATCATAGGCAATATTTGTTAATGATGAATTACAAACTTTACGTACAACACCTTGAGAAGCAAGAATTGATACTTCGTTTCTAAATTCTTTAATAGTGAAATGTTTTTGATTAATCTTAATAGAGTCAATCAGTTGTTTAAATTTTTCATACCATTCACCTATTCCTATTACCCCATTTCTATTTTGACAAAAGAATAATGAAGCACATAAACATTTTTGATATTTTCCCATTCTTGAAAGAAAATCTTTTGTTGAAGTATCACCATTATTCATTCCATTTGCTTTAATAGCATGAATCATTTTTACAACAGGTGAATTATCTTGAATAGCTAAATGAATTGCTAATGTACATGCAGAATATACTTTTCTAAGATCACCTTCTTTTCTATAAACTTCTTTTGCTATATATTCAACAGCTTTTGAATCAAAAGTATTATTTGTTTTTGTTCTAATAATTTCACAAATTTGTTCAAGACTATTTGTTGTATATAACAACTGTGCAGTATATGGTGAACGTGTAAAATCATTTGCCATTGAATAATAATCTTGTGTTTCATTTGCTAAACCAATGACTACACACCTATATGCAATTTTAATTCCAAATAATGCTTGTAATAACCATTGATACATATCATTACATTTATTTTTTAAATTATCAATTTCATCAAATACAAGAATAGATGGAATTGTTTCATTATTTAACTCTGATGCAATTTCTTTAAATGTTTTTTCTTCACCAAATAATTGTTCTGATAATGATCGAATAAAACATTTTTTATTTGTACATAATAATACATTAATAAATACTGTTCTTCTTTTTACTCTTAATTCATTTAAAAATTCATTATCTTTTAATACTTCTTTAACAACTGTTGTTTTACCAACACCAGACCCACCATGAATTAATATCAATCCAAAATGTGGAAATAATTCATATTGTCGAATACATGTTTTTAATTCTTCATATTCTTTTTCTCTACCAACTATTTCTCCTTTTTCAATTTCATGTTGATTAAATGCTTTCATCGTTGAAACAAGAGGACTTGGTGTTTGCATTAAAAAAAATAATAAAAATAAAATTTTTTCATTAAAATTCTTTTTATTTTTTTTATTTTTTGTTATGAAAAAAGGAATAATATAATTTTTACTATTTTTATTACTTATTTCTCTTTTTCTTCTTCTTTTTTTCTGTTTTTGTTTTTCTTAAATTAAAAATAAAAAAGGGTTATCTAGTAATTATAATCATTCTAATGAGTTCTATAAAGTTATATGTCGGTCATTTACCTGATGGTGTTACTCAAGCAGAAATGAAAGATGTATTTTCAAAATATGGATCAATTGAAACAATTGATATAAAATCACACTTTGGTTTTGTTGTTTGTTCATTTTTGAATTATTAACATTTCTTAAATTTTCATTTGCATCATAAATGAGTTCTTCCATTGAAGAATATGAAATAAATATATCAAATTGTAAAAAGAAATTTGTGATTATTATTAATGATTATATGATCAGTCTTAATCATAAAAAACTTTTTCGTACTGACACATGTAGACATTTACAAATGCTGAAGATGGTAAAAAAATAATTGATGACAAAATTGATATTACAATAAAAGGAAGACATGTTTCTGTTGAACAGGCTCGAGGAGATAGATCACGTGAAAACGATGTCTGCTATCTTTGTGGTAAAACTGGACACTGGGCACGTGATTGTAATGAGAAACGATATAGAAGAAGAAATAGATCTTCTTCTCGTAGAAGACATTATAGTAGAAGATATAGTTCTCGTTCACGCTCTCGCTCTCGTTCTCCTTATTCAAGAAGACATTCAAGATCATCAAGTAGACGTCATAGACATTCATCATCTCGTTCAGACTCCAGATCTCGTTCACGCTCTCCATATTCAAGACATTCTCAAAGATATTCTAGACATCGCCATCGTTCAGATTCTAGTTCTTCTTTTTCTAGAAGTTCACCTTCTCCAAAACGTGACTCAAGCAAAAGAGAGAACAAATCAATTAAAAACGAAGACAAGTCAATTAAAAAAGATACTGAAACAATAACCCCAAAAGACTCAGAAAATCAACAAAAGTAAAAGTACAAATTTACTTGTTAAATTATTAAACTAAACTGGGTTTTTTTTTATCCATTTTCATTCTTTTGTTTTTTTTTATTCCTTTTTTTCATTAGTTTCTTTTAAATTTATGGATTCTCTTTTCATTGTAATATCATTTTCGTTTTGGATTTTTACTTTCTCAGATTGAGAATTTGTTTGTTGTTGATGTTTTTCCATGTGTTGATTATTTTTTTTTGGTTTATTTTCATTTCTTTTTCTATTTCTTTTTGATTTTTTCACTAGAAATGTATTGTACTTCCGTTTTGATTCAAGTGCATGAACAAATGACTGTGTTTTACTCAATAACATTAAATCTTCTCCAATTGTATCATCGTTCATTTGTTGGAGTGGTATAAAAGGCGCTTCTTTTTTCTTGCAATTTATTTTATGTGCCTTATAACAATCTATACTACAATATAAAATATTACATTTAGGGCATTGATACTTGGACTCTTTTCCACATATTTCGCATTGTCGTTTGTGATTTTCCATTATATTAACATTCTTCGATCTTTGTTCTTTCTTTTCATTCTTCAAAAATTAAAAAACTAAAAACATAGAACTTAAAAATAAAATAATAAATTGAAATTAATATGAAACACATCTAACTATAAATTATAACTTATTTACTATTAAATAATAATAAAAGGGAGAAACATGAGATATATCGACTTTGAACCCTATCTCCATTTAATGACCTTAATGAACTGATAAAAAACTGTCAGTGGAAGGATGTCAAGTCTCAAACAAGCTAAGAAAACACAAGATGGAGTTAACTCAAAACTTGCCCTTGTAACAAAGAGTGGTAAATATGTTCTTGGAACAAGAAGTACCCTTAAAACTATTCGTGATGGAAAAAGTAAACTTGTTATAATTTCATCCAACTGCCCACCATTAGAAAGAGCTAAAATTGAATATTATGCTGTTCTCGGTAAAGTTCAAGTTGTCCATTATTCTGGATCTAATGTTGATCTTGGAACAGCTTGTGGTAGATATTTCTCTGTCTCTGTTTTATCTATTATTGATGGAGGAGATTCTGATATTCTTAAAGCCTCTGAATAAATTGAATGGCTAATTAGTATTTGTTCATTTATTCGTTTAGTTTTTATTTTTATGTTTCATTCTAATTATTTTTATTTTCATTAGAATCAAAAAGAAGAATAAAAAGAATGATGAAATTTAATATTAAAGAACCACAATAAATATTTTATTATGTAATCAACATATTATTGATTAAACTTGAGTATATTGTTACATGTTAAGAAAGTAATAAACACGTTCATTTTAATATAAACAAGTATTTAAAAAGTAAAACTATTTCAAAAGCACTTTGTGTAAAATTTGATTTCATACCAAAACAAGTTTTTGTAATTAAAATTTATTAAATATGTTTTATTTGAAATATAAACTAAATTATATCTGTTATTAAATATTCGGAAGTTAATTTTATCTTCATAGTAAAGCTGTTATTTTAGTAAGTTCAATAATAAATGAGCAAATAATTTTTGTAATGCATTTAATAAATAAAATAATTAACACCCCTTTTTATTATTTTATTGTTTAAAGTATCTTAATACAACTGAACCATAATTTCCATGATTAGATCATCTATTTATTAATTGATATAAAATTATTTCATTATTTGATAATATTTTTCATAATATCTTTATCTTTTTTATAACAAACTTTTTTATAATGAAACAACTTGAAAAATTTTAAAGAAAAAAAGAAAAACACATACTAATGAAACTTCACCCAAAATTCAAATAGATCAACAAGTGCAATCAGACTTTTGAGCTTGAGGAGCAGGCTGATCAATATTAACTTGGTTCATAACATAAATATCTGTATCAGTTCCCTTTTGAGCAATAGCAGCTTGAGCAATTGATTGGAAAGCAGCATCTACATTGGTAGCATTTTTAGCAGAAGTTTCGAAGAAAGGAATATTGAAATGTTCTGAACACCATTGTTCAGCCTTCTTCTTGATAGCATCAGGACTTCCTTCATAAGTATCAACTTTATTTCCTAAAACAACAAATGGGAATTGGTCTTGGTTCTTTGGTGAAGCTTGAACAAGGAATTCTTCTCTCCAATTGTTTAAGGACTCAAATGTCTTTGGATCGTTAACATCGTAACAAAGAGCACAACAATCTGCACCTCTGTAAAAAGCAACTCCAAGAGATTGGAATCGTTCATTTCCAGCAGTATCCCAAATTTGCATTGTCACTTCATGATTATCAACAACAAGATCTTTTGTTAAGAAGTCAGCACCAATAGTTGCTTTATAGACAGAACTATATTTATGATTAACAAATTGGTTCATTAAAGAAGTTTTTCCAACACCTGAATCACCAAGAATAATTACTTTTAACAGAATCTTTTTCTTAGACATCGTTCCTTTCTATTGTATTATTCAGTTTTCAGTTCTCAATCTTTGTTTCTCTTTTTTCTTTTCTTTAATTTTTTTCTTCTCTTTCAGTGGAATTCTCAAGGAAAATAATCCTCTTTTTATATTCAATTTTTTAATTATTTTAATAGTTTATTAATTATTTAAAATAGTAATATCTACTGTTCCAATCTTTTCTTCAAAAAAATAAAAATAGACAAGTTTTTAGTTTACAATGAAGTTGAACTTAAAAAAAAAAAAAAGAAAAAACAAAAAGAACGAAAGAAAAAACAAAAAAATATGAGAATGAGAAATTTAACGAAGTTAATAATAATTGGAACAGTGTTAGTCGTAATAAATTTATTTCTTCAATTTCCCGATACAGCGATGACAGTAAATTTAATTAATTGTGATGATATTAGACCAATAAAATTAGTAGTCAAATCTAAAGGATATTATCCAAGACATTTATCACAATGTGGATGGAAAATGAATGATTTAATAATACATATAGGTTTATTAATTATTCCATTCTTTCATAACCTTCTTGATCCTTTTTATCAGTTAACAAGAATTCTTAGAAGAATTATTATATTTACAACTTCACTTCTTTTATTATTATTTTCAACACATACACTTATTGATTTAATTCATTACCCAACTTCAATAGTTCAAGAACTCTTTCATTTTAGTCGTTCTTCATTTATATTTAATGTACTTTTAGAATTATTTTTATCAATTTGTTGGTTAATTTCTGTATTTACCTCAATGAATCTTGGTTAGTTGCTGTTTATTTCTTTCTTTTATTAATTTAAAACATTAATGAAGTATAAAACATTAATGAAGTATAAAACATAAATTTTTAATTACTTTGAATATTTTTTTAATAGTGTTGGGTTTATTTTAATTACTGTTACACCTCCATTTGTTATCATAGGTGATGGCTTTGTTACTTCTGGTTTTTCTGTATTACTTTGATTAAAATATAATTCAGATGGATCTATCTCTTGGAATTGATTATCTATCTCTTTATAAAATTCAAGAACTTTCTTATTAACTTTCCACGCTGCTGCTCCTGGTAATTTACCAACTATTTTAAGCCCTTCTAATGACTGTAATCTACTTAATGCAACATAAGCTTGTCCAGCTTCAAATACTTTTTCTAAATTCAATTCTGCTGCAGGAAGTGTTAACCCTTGAGATTTATGAATACTTAAACCCCATGCATATGTCAATGGTAACTGAATTCTAGCTGAGACTATGAGTCCTAATGATTCAATTTCCCAAATATCTGGAGTAATTGTTACAATAACTCCTTTTCCAAAGTCAACCACAGGAAAAAATTTATTGTTTGAATAAAAATCATTTTCTCCTTTTTTTATATTACAGTCTGTTGCATATGAATCTTTTTTTTCTCTATTTTCTTTATGTTTTACTTTAACTTCTTCAAATCTTAAAATTTTTCCTACAGCCCCATTAACTAATCCAATTTCTGGTTGTGTATTTTTTAATAACATTACTAATGTTCCAAGTTTCAGTGGTAATTGTTCTGGTGCTGGACATTCTTTTAATGGACCTCTATTACGTTCTGAACCAACATCACATGAACTGTAAACATATTGTTGACTAGTTAATTTTGATAATTCTTTTTTATTATAATTTTCAGCATCAAGACGATGAGAAAAAAGACATGTTTTCTTTTTATCTCCAAGATCACGTTTTTGACATTCTTGAAGAAGTTCATATGTTTTCTTTGTTACAAATCCATATCTTATGTTATTTAACATTTCTATAAATGTTAAATCACTTTGACGATGTTGTGTATGAAGAATAACACATTTTTTAATAACTTCTTTCCAACACTTTGATTCAAATACAAATTTTACTTCTTTTCCTTTTGATACTGGTGGTAATTGGAAAAAGTCACCTGAAAATATGACTTGAATTCCACCAAATGGTGAATTCTTTCTTTTTATTTTTTGTGCAATAACATTTAATTTATCCAATAAATCACCTGAAATCATTGATATTTCATCAATTAAAAGTACTTCTACTTTATTCCATTTCTCAAAAGCAGTTCTGTTTTTAATTACTTTTGTATATAACATATCAACACTTTGATCACCTAACCCAATCCCAGCAAAACTATGTAATGTTACTCCTCCAATATTACAAGCTGCAATACCAGTAGAGGCAGTAATAGCAACAGACCCTGGTTTAGTATGAAGTTCTTTCAATATTGTAATTAACTTTTTCATTACATATGATTTGCCTGTACCTGCTGCACCTGAAAAGAAGAATGAAATTTCATTTTCAGCTAATTCTATTACTTCTTTTTGATCATCAGAAAGATCACTAATAAGTCCTTTAAATTTCATTATATTATTAACAAATGCTGCTGTTTTAGCATAATCCGATTTTTCTTCTTTCTTGATTTGGTTTAAAGGAGGGAATCTTACAATTTCTTGTTTAAATTCAATCGGTTTTTGTTTTTGTTTCGATTTCTTTTGTTCCATTGAAAGAAGTTGAAGGATTTGATGTCTTGGTTTTTGTTTTTCACTAAAGTTTTTTGATTCAGTTGTTGGTTTTGGACTGAATTGTTTTGACAACGCACGTTCTGCTTTAGAGGGAATAGAGTGAGTAGGGATACTAGAAATCGTTGTTGGTTTGTTAATAGTCTTAATTTTATCTGTTTTCATTGGAGTTAAGTTATGAACACTTTTTAGGCATTTCTTATTGACTTGCATTTCTGCATCACTTTGAGTCGGTCTGGGTAGTTTTGGTGTGATAGACATAGGGTTATCACAAGTTGATAACTTAGTTTTGTATTTCTTAATTCAGAAAAGTGGAATATATAACATTAATGAAGTTGAATTTAAAAATATCTTTAATCTATTTAGCTCATTTAAACTTATCATTTCAAAAATATGTTATTTTGAGAACGTTTATAATCAATTATATGTAAACCACACTAGTTATGGTAGTTATTAAATATTTATTTGATTAATAATTTGAAATAAATTATATTTTGTGAAGATACTTGTTATTATTAGGATAAATAAATTTAAGTATAATTAGGATATAAAGTTATGTTAGAGTATATATA